CTTTCCACTCTGCTTCTCTTCCCCATCCCACTGATCAAGTGAGAAAGCAGCTGTGGGGTGCTGAGCTGTCAGGGTGAACAGCAAAATCCCCCACAAAGCCCCCACTTTTCCTTGTTTGTTTAATTATATTTCAGAATGACTGTTGTCTACTTAGTCAAAGTTAGTTTGCTTAGTCAAAATCAGATGTGGCAACATGGGATCTACCTATGTCAAACAGATCATTCATTATCACATTTTACTTTCTCTTGGAGAAGCAGATGGCATCATTTCCTCACATAAAAAGAAATCCTTCCTTAGAGTTAAATCAGATGCTTGATCATTTGTCATGACTTCTACATGACTTCTAAATTTCATTTGCATACAGAAACACAAATTACCTAGTTACTCACCTGACTATAGTTCCACAGATATTCACCTACAATTCTGGTTGGGAATACAACAGGGAAAAGAAGTTTATACTAATGGCTACAATTCAGCACTAAGTACATGCTCTTGTGCCATTAGTTCCGTGTGTTTCACATGATGTACTGAATTAAGGACCAGCCCATGCCCTATGCAGAAGAGGCTGCAAATAACAATTGGGAACATAGATTATAATAATGCTCAGATTTTGAACTAGGACCCAGAGAAACACTAGGCATTCTGCAAAAACAGTTGGACACAGAACTGCTTCTAGGCAAATTGCTTAATCAATGTTAATTCATATTTACATAGTCCCATCAAAATCATTTAAACCCACCTCATATACATGTGCTTACAGAATCACAGTATAAATAGATACTGTCAGCACAAAGTGATTAATGAAGAAATAATTTTAAATTTCTTATTTTCAATTATATCCATTATCTTTTCAGAAGACAAAAACCTGGCAAATACTACTGCATAAAATTATGAGTATTCAAGATCTAGATTCTTTCCAAATAAAGGAAAAAACATTACTGTTCTTTCCCCAATTTTAGAGACATCAGAGAAAGGGAAAAATGGAAAAGAGATGAGTTGGCATATTGCCTGGTGAATAGAAAGAAGAACATTAATAATTTGAATTTATACAGTTTTCACGTATTCTAATTCAACATAGTCTAGAGGTTTGATCTCAAAACTAATATAGAAGCTACAAAAAAGTATCACTAAAGTGATGCTAAATCTATGCAGTATGATAAATGTGCTACTGGACAGGCAATAATGTTACAATTGTTAGGAACAGAAAGCTTGATCTGGAATACTGTGCATAACTGGTCATTCCTGTTCAAACTGGAGCAGGAATAAACAAGACCTTTTAAGATACACATAGGAATATGGAAACTATGACAAAAAGGGAATGTTGTATTACAGGTATCTCAAAATATGATGAACATTACAAAGGATGGCTCTTCAAAGTTTAGAAACAATGTATACAGAAACAAATGGATAATAAATTCAGCTTGATAAAGAGATGATCTCTAGCTATCAGAGAAGCAAAGTCAATTCCAGGTTTATGTTCTACTACAGCAAGTTAAATAACTATATGAAATTGTTTTAAATATAAAAAAAAAGTTACTCACTGCGAATCTGAAACTATCAATACAAGCCCCCAAATCTACAACCTACACTATTAAACAGTATTTTTTCAGAACTTATGCCTCCTTTGATGACAGAATGATTCAAAATTTTCAAGGTGTGCTCAGAATCAAGAAGCTAGAGTGCCATCTAAAACTGAATGCAAGGTTTTAAACTTCAGCTGAAGTAGACTAAGGTGATAAAGCTTGGGAGTATTATTATAATTAAGTTGACAACAGTAACAGAAAAATGTTTCCAAGATGCCTTAGTTGAATTCTGCTAAAATATTTCAGAATTTATTTGATTTGGATGAAGCTAGAACATCTTAACATCAAATAAAATGAAATGGTGCAACTTTTATTAAATTCTTTAAATACATTCCAGTGTTTTCATAAGCTTAATTCTTCTGTATTTTTTCTCCAGTGCTATTCAGTGTTCCATTTACTTGGTTAATGAAAAAAGCAATTTCTTAATGATCATAACCTGCTTCCCACTCTGCAAGCTCCCTTCTGTTTTTCACAGAGAGAAAAATATTTCTTTCCATAAAAGTGGACTGGGAATGGAATTCCTGCCACACAGGGAAAGGCTGAGAGAACTGGGTTTGTTCAGCGTTGAGAAAGGAAAGCTTAGGAGAGATATACATTATCATCACATTCCAGCATTTCAAGGGTGGCTACAAAGGAAATGGACTCCTTTTATGGACTTTTCCATAAATGGACTTGTAAATGGACTTTTACAAGGAGCTAGAAGCAAAATACAAGTAAAGTATTTACTTGTACAAGTTGGTACAAGTTGGGCACACTCTGATTAGACACAAGAGGAAAGTGTTCTGCAATGAGGACAATGAGCCATTGAAATAATCCCCAAAGGTAAGGTGCTGGATTCCCCAACACTGGATATTTTTAAGACTGAGCAGGACATGGTGCTGTGCCATCTTGTCTGTATGGTGCTTATGCCAAGAAAGGTTGGACCAGATGATACTTGAGATTGCTTCCATCCTGGTATTCTAGGATTCTGTGAAAAAATTAATGAGAATTGCCTGCCATTTCCAGATCATTTTCCCTCGGAAAAGTGGCATTGTGAAATGCCCACTTTGAGGTTTAGTTTTAAATGGAAAGTATTTTTCAATACCTTAGCTGAAATTCTGAAATGAAGAAGACATTCTGCTGCATCAGAAGTGTACACAAAAGCATATGGCAGAGGTCAAAAAAAGATGCAGTCTACATTCCACTTTGCTTCCTTCCAAACCCAGACTTGTCACCTACAGAATAAGGAAGCAAAAAGCTGTCTCTTCATGACATAGACTCACATGGGCACAAGACTCACCAAAAAAACCCATACTGAGGGAATCAGGTCCACAGAGGAGCTGTAATGCACTGAAAAATGAAGTTTAATTGGAAAGAAGGGGCTTGAATAGCTCATTGGAAGTGGCTTGGTACACTTAGAACAATTTGCTATATTCTTTATATTCTGCTGTTACATTATTTTTCCGTTTCCAGCACTAAACTCTGTATCTTCACACAAGACCAGCCAGAAAATTTTTCAATATTGAAAAGGTAATAACTACTAAGCAAAATCAAAATTGATTTCAAACAAAATTTCAGATTAAAAATGTTCACAAGTGAAAAAAGGATTTTCAGTCAAAATCCTGCAAGTTGGAAAGATATTGCCAGCAAAAGCTTATACTGAATATAATTTTCTTCAGATGTGAGGGATAGAAAAAGTCATGGTTAAGAGAGTGGGAAGCAAAGAAAATGAAAAGGAAAGCTTGGCAGGCCTCAAGAGACATTACTGTTTTATTTCCTGTTGTGAGGATTATTGTTCTACAGCCAATCACGATATTAATGACACACAGTATTGTCCTCAGTAGTTTATTTTTCTGGCTTTCTCACACACTTCAGTCTACATGCAAGCTTATTTTTGAACAAGTTTTAATATTAATAGGGTTAAAAGATGCTAAGTCTATGGATTCACCAGTTCTGAACTGTATTTCCATTTTATCAGTTCTAAATCCCATCTGGTAGATTGGAATGCTTATCTCATGAATATCAAAACAAATTAAATGTTGACTAGCAGTCAAGCAGAAATCAAAATATGCAAATTTCCACAAATCTCAATTCCTTAATAGCTACCTCCTGTTACTATTAATAGCTAAATAGTAAAAGCAATTAAATAAAATTTAAAAATAAAATAGCAGTAGTAATTAAATGTGGAGATAATATACTTGGCATCTTTTTTAATGGAATCATTGATTTTTAATTTCCTTTATTTCTCTGAAAGTAAAGTATTCTAGAGGAAAGCGAGCTATAACAATATTCTACAATATATATATAAAACTATAAACTTTGCAGCTTTTACTGCTGTCTTTTTGTGTTCTCTTTTATAGCAGAAACTTACGTTCTATACAATTTACTACTGAACATGATAATTTTGCCACATTAATTAGGGGCTTTATTTCACCAAAACTTTCTTTCAAGCAGACCAACGTCTCTTCATTTGGACCAGCACATTTCTTCAGTGGTTAGGAACAATTATTCACCTTTTAGCTTAGCTGTCACCCTGTCCATGTTTCAAGAACTGCAGGGCAGTATTTCCTGATCACTCCTGTTTCTTAGGATAGGGAAATACAGTGCCTATCTAATACTCATTAATGAAATTGGAACAGGCATATTGAACTGGATATATTTCAAATATTCAGTCTTGCTGTAGCCTGAAAATGTCAGTTGAATTAAAACAAGCAGACAAGTAGACAATTTTTCCTCTTAGAGACAGTGCAGTTAGAAGCCTTTACATACAAGTACCAGTTCTTACTCACCTGGCCAGGTCTACTGATGTAAGTGGCTTTATTTCAATGAACAAAAACTGCAGGATTAAAATTCTTATCAATGAGTCACTTTATTCAGTTTCACATGATACATTTTAACTCCACCATGTAAACTGTCAACTTTATATTGCCTGAACATCTACTATCAATAGCTTTGCATGCAGAAACTCAACCATCTCTTGCAACACCATGTTTAATATATGAAGATAATTTTAAAATCCAGCTGTCTGACACAAGTTTAGGCACATGACACTTTGTTCCTGTTACAGGCAGGAACAAAGAGTAAATGAGGTGCTTTCAGATTATGTCCAGCTGTATTCATCAGAGACCAAATGCCATTGCACTGATTAGGATCACAAAGAATCTAAGTGACCCATAGTCAGTCATCTCCTGCTTAAACACTTCACCACTCACAAAACATCAATACTGGTTTATAGACAAATCATGCAAGTCAGAATGAACCATGCAGTACATAAGAGACCAAAAAAAAGCAAACTGAAAGAGCAAACAGATGTTATATCAAAGGGTTTCACACATGGAGGAAACGCAAGCAATGGCAAACAGTACAATTTTAAAAATAAATTTAACACCTCTCAAGTTCTGAGCATGCCACTGTCACAAAATGCAACTTTTCACTCACCAAAGTAGAGTTATGTGAAGCATCACCTGAGACCTCAGGTGTTCTTGTGCTGTTTGGAAGTCTGTGAGGGTTACGAGCTATCGCTTGGCACCAGCCCAACATTTTCTCCTTCCACTTATCCCTTCTCAATTTCTGAAATTCTGAAAATAATTTAGATTCCCTGAAACATTGACACTTTGAATTCATTGTGTGCATGTCTCTGGATGCATGCCTTTTAAAACAGCTTTTTAAGTTATATCTGAACAAGCTAGTAAAACATATTTTTAAAAGAACATGTTTTTCTAAATTATTCCAAAGTGCTAAACCATAAAGGGTCATGAAAAGAGTCATGCATTTTCAGAGCACCTTACATGCATTAATACTATTTTTGTGTCAGCAAATACAGTGCCTTCTCTCCATGTTAAATCTTCCTCACGTTGTAACTTTAATTTTAAAAGTGTTATTTTAAAGGGGCTTTATTACAGAACACCTCTGAGACTAGCACCATCCCAAAAACTATATAGCATTTGGATACAAACCCCCACATTCACTGAAATAAGGAGAAACAGCCCTAAATCAGCAGCAAATACTAGATACAAATAAACTGTGTGAAAACACACAAACCTGTATGTACCCATGCCCAGACACTCCAGAATACCTGGCTCATCTGGAAGTGCTCTGCTAGGATATGTTGAAAATAGCAAAAACTAAGGCAGGCACACCAGAAATAAATGCTCTGCACCAACTACAAATTGCCTCTGAATTTACTTCTAGTTTGAAACAATAACAAAATACCTTGTAAATAACACTACCACATTCTGGAAATGCAGCACTAGTAGAGGATGCTATTAAGTGTAAGAAACCCTCATAAGTATGTTTAAAATCTCGCAATCTGTTTCTTCCCAAGAGAAGTTGGCAACGGAGGAATTCAGTGCAAAACTTCGCTAATTAATTACAAAAAACAACTTAGAACAATTTTATTCTCAACATCTGAAGCAATTTCTAATCTGGTTGCTTGTAACATATTGTAATTTAAAATGTGTTATTCTGTTATTTCTGAATCATGAAACATAATAAACAGGAAGAATAACCTACCAGACTGAGTGCCTAGTACTCCAAATAAGGGTAGCACTAGACTGAATAAAACTGGAAAATAATGGAAAAAAAATACAATAATGCTGAAGACCTCCCATGGCACTATGCAGCATGATTGAATATTATGCACTTGCAACTTAAGTTTATTTTTTCTGCAATACATCTCCATGCAGGACACAAATTATGCATATATTTACAGCAGATTTTATCTTTCCAGGTTCTGAGTCTGACAACCTACAACCCCTTCCTGAATAAGCTCTACCATTTCCACACTTAACCATAAATATATAGTTTTCCAAGTATGAAATGCACAAAGCTGTATTCCCCACATAACCTCATGGAACTGAAAGGAATAAGCTGAAATTAGCATTAGCTTTATTGCACTGGAGATGATTAGGTGAGTGAGACAACAGATTAAGTGATTTTTTTTTTTTCAATTTTTTGGTCCCTTTGAATCTCAATGTGAGATAAAAAAGCATGCTGAGTAAGAGATCAATCAATCCTTTCTATACTGCCTGTACTCATGAAGACAAGAAATCATTTGAATATAGGTACACTCCTATTCTGGTCTCTTTGGTGTGCAGAACCGTTTGGAAGATTGGCAATTCTTTTTTTGCTCTGAGCAATCAAAATTACTGCCACTGCCCAGATCATACCTGAAAGAAACATTTTGCTCCTGCTCATACACCTGAAGAACCACCATAAATAAGTTTGCTGAAAACAATCTTAATTCATCATCTCTAGACTTGTTAAAAAAATAGAATTACTTTATTCATATTTTTAAGGTGAGAAAACTTTTACTTTTAAGTTAGCCAAGCAAAGGGACACACAATTATTGTCCATCTTGTACAATATCAATGCTAAAAAAAAAAAAGAGAGGTTAAGGATGATGTATTAAAAATTAGCCACTTGTTTGAAATAAAAGCATAATATTGCTAAAAAAAAGTCACAAATCCAGCAAGAGAAAAGAAATTACACGCTTAATTCAGGAGCATAGTCAGATTCAGGTAACAAAAGTTATGATTTTCAGTCCTTACCAGAATCTAACCGCTATCACAGAACAGCAGGAAATTGAACACAAAACACACTGTTCTTTAGTTTGTTCTCTGTGTTCAAAGATTCCCAACAGTAATCAAAGTGACGGTATTTGTCCAGCTGCATGATTTGGCACACCATCAAAATATTCCAGGAGCAGAGCTGCAGGAATACTGAAATACAAATAGCCTTGACTGCTGAGCTCTGCTAAGATAAATACAGCCACTCTTATTCATTATCTATCTCTTGTCTGAGTCTTGCCAAGCTGTGACTTCTAATCAATTATGCTAATTTGGATAAAACCATTAATTGAAGGGCTGGATGTAAGAGAAACCTCTGACAGTTTCTGCTATTTCTGTGTCACAAGTAAGCCACTGGCTTTTCTTAACCAGCCAGTTATTATCCTACGACTGCTGTGTTTCACAGGGACAATCCAGTGTAGCTATAGCATAACAACATAATGACACTAAAACCTTCTGCCAATAAGAAGCTCAACCTCAGGTTTTAAAATTACTTCTATATTAAAAATAAATAAATTCATATTAGAATACATGTGATTGTGTCAACAGTTGTACAGGTACTTTCAGTGTTTTGGTGTAATATCTCAGTGCTATGGTGATTCACCAGTGTTTTTTTTTAAGTCAGGGAAAAAAAATTACTTTCCACATACAAATGCCAATTACCTGTAAAAATTTCCATAATTTAAAGGCAAAATATATAATCCTCAGAAGAGCTGAGGACCTTCTGCCCCTCCAAACAGAGGACTAATTTTTTGAGTCCAGCATCAAATTAAAATAGCATGAAAGGCCATCAGACTAGAGAAGTCTTATCTTCTTGATTGATACCTGCAGCAACCCTAAAGTGCCTGTATAATACCTAATAAAATACCTAATGTTTTAGCCTCATTAAAAACAATGCAGAGACCAACAGAAAACAAGCACATATGCACAAGAATCATTAAGGTGACACCTAGAATGATGGTACCAATCAAGACTATAATGGTACCAGCTTTCTTGTATAGTTACTGGATATACACAATCAGACACCTCTGCATTAAGTGTAGGCAAGATTCTGAATTCAAACATGTCATGTTTATTCATGACTGTTTTCAGAAGTGCTTCTAGGGCACTACTGGAAGAGTAAACCCAATTATGCACATCTAAATGCCTTTCCCCACCTGTAAAGACAAAATAGAGCTGTCATTTAACTCAGCTATGCAGCTCTTTCAAAACTGCTGCAGAATCAGAGCCCCTCTCTAGAGTATTAGACATTACATTATAACCAAGTTTTCCAGAACTTATAGTTTAAATTTGCAAACTGCCAAATACAGCATATTATTAAAGAATACCTATATTATCTAATCAATTTTCTTTAAAGAAATTACTTTGATGGTCCTGTACCATAATTAACCATAGAATTACTTCTAACTAAATCCAGCCTTTGTTGATTTGTTCTTTTCTCTTATACTGCTAGTATGTATTTTAAGTTGTCCTTAGTCCTTTAAGATTTTGATTCTTTTTTGTCACAACTAAGGATGCATATTTCATTTATCGATTCCAACAATTCAATCACTGAAAATAAATAAATTTAAGATGACTGCAACAAAAATTATTGCAGCTAATATTGCTTTGTTTAACCACTCCATAACTACTATATCCAAAGCACGACAAGAAAGCTTTAAATGTTTTCAAAGAAAATAGTCTTTTGGGCTACTAACAATTTAAAATTTGTGGGTATGTTTGCCTTCATAGTCCTACTCCTTTTTTTCCCCCACAAGGAAGTGTACCTCTTTTGTAAAGCAGAAAGCAATTTTAGATCATTCAAGGCTCTTTAGAAAAAGACCAATAGGGTTTGTTCCCCATGGTAAATTTTTTTGCATTGTAATTATGCCATTTTGCATTTGTGAAGACTTCAAGAAGAAAATGCTGAGAAATGTATATTTATGGCAACTGATTTAATGTTTAAGAAACCCCCATCTTTTATACATTTAGATACTGCATAAACATCTGTATTTCCTGACACAGCTTTTGACCTACTTTCATAAGCAACCTCTATTCCATCCTCAAGTATGAATTTGCTGCCTAAAAGGCTCTTGCTGTCAATATCACAGCTACTCTTCAAGGGAATGCTTTGCTCATGCAAGGTTAAACATCTCTGTTGAATTTTCCTCAGACCTTCAAAAAGCAATGGAATTGTATTTGCCACTGCTACTGGTGAGCAGTGAAAGGGTGCCTAACCCCTCCTTCAGGATCCCTCAGGACCTCTCCATGGAAATTTCAGATGCATCAGATTCTCAAGTAGGAAGGACAACAGCCTTGATACAAACATGGAGTTGAGAACAAGAACAAAGTACATGTTTTTGCTTTGTGAGTTTGCATATATTTAGCCATACATGACTGCCAAGCAGCTTAAATCAAAGCTTCAATCAACAATAAAGACATGACTGGTAAATACACCTGATAAACCATATCCAGCACTTGGCAGATGAAAACTCTTCAGGGAAGATACAGAAATAGCAGAAAATGTTAAAATGCAAAAAGTTCAAATGAAGCTAAAGCATTAACCACCTCATGAAGTCATGCATGCAATTATACAAACGAACATGGCATAAGAAGTTACAGTAAGTCTTTAATGGACTTTGTTCAGCTTATGAAAAATTAAAAGTTATTTCTTAAGGTTTCTTCCCATTCTTATGTGATTTATTTACAGAAGAAGAAGGGTATATTTATGCTGTAAAATCAAATCCACTTTGCATCAGGCAGAGCTCACTAATGAAGTACAATAAGAAGACAGAGAAGTAACTTTTTTGTAAATAGCCTAATAAAGCTTAAATACCTGAAAGACATAATTTAACCATGAAACACCACTGTATCAAAGGACAGATCATTAATACTGAATTTAAATTAACTTTTAAGAAAAAAGAAAAAATTAGATTTCATTGTAATACCAGATGTATACACACCAAAATGCACTTAAGACCATGCTTGGTCCAACAGAAGTACTTCCCCTTTGTCAGGGTAGCATTTTTAAC